AGGAAATGGGCGCCACTACGTCGCACCGATCTCGAATGTAGCCAAATGCTTCTTCGTCTCGAAGATACGAGGTCACGATGTCGCAATGAGAGAGAGAGAGAGAGGGACACACACATACACACACTTTTCTCTTTTTCTATAAGCTTTACTTGTCCTACATATGTAAGCAAGTATGTTTCCTTTTTACGCCAGTGGTCTTCAAATTTTTTTCGTTTACGGTTCACAACCCTTATAAGTGGAAAAATATTTAACGTAACCCAGTTTTATACGGTAACATAACAAATGATATTAATAATATATATGTAATGTGTGTAATATATATATATACAAACGTTTATTTTGACAATGGTGTTGCAAATTTATTTGTTGATTGTTACGAGAAAATGAAAGATTAACGTATTAGTAGTAAATTAAAAATAAAATAGAAATAGAAATTAATCGTATCGAATTTGTTTGGCAATGTTTACATTACATTAACTTATTCAATATGTAATTTGATTAAAATAATATATTATATATATATATTTAAGGGCTGTGTAAATAGATTTAATATAAATTTCATAATAGATCGTTAACGTTAATTTCTTTTATTGGCCAATTTTGTTTTGAACAAAATACTGGTATTTTTGAAGATATTAAATATTAACTAGTTTACTAGAAAAAAGCTTATACATCAAATTAATCACAAATATATGTGACATCTCATTTTATAATAAAAATTGACCTGAAACACTTTCAAAATAAACGATTCAATTATGTATGTGCAAACAACGATTTGTAGAACTCGTTGGAAAGATTTCGTGAAACGTAATTTGAAGATCACTGATTTAAGTTTTTAAGAAATATATGAATTAGGTCGTTCTCGGAATTTTTTTTGCGCTTCCACATAAGTTTTTATAAACAATTATTTTGTATTTCATATACTATTTTAATATAAATCTTTTGCAAAATGAATCCCGATTATTGTACAATGAAATAACGTAAAATTAAAAATATTAAATTTTCCATGCAAAACTCGTGTCAGTGAAGGAAAATTATGATAATTTTCGGACGTATTAATTCATCTACGTGTAGGCTTAGATATGTGCATGCGTATTTATAGTTAATACGTGTATCAGTTAGTATATTCCTTTACTTATGGGTATATAAATGTTCATATAAGTGACTAAGTGTTCGTTAAAAATATTAAACGAATATTAACACAATCTCAATACTTTCATTGCATTGAAAGAATGAATTATTTGAATTCGTGACCGTAAACGACGTATCGCTCTGTTTAAAAAATACAAAATGGCGAGTTAGATGATGCTATTTTCCTCTCTTTTTCCCTATTTTTTTTTTAACTTTTTTTTCCACAGTCGTACACATTCCGATCTTTATCTTTGCAAACTATTTTCTATCTCTCTCTTTTTCTCTTTCGTCATAGAGAAGAAACTATCTTTATTTATACTTCTCTAACTAAGATATTTAATTTTACCTTGGATGTTCTATCATGATATCGTTGCTAAATGTTTCTTTTTCATTTTATTTTTTCTCTTTTTCTTCTTCTTCTTCTTCTTCTTCACTTTGACTTGCTTTTAAATGTCGGAACGTTTGCTTAAAATATTTGATGGGGACGAAAAGATAAAAAAAAAAAGGAAAAATATGAGAAAAAGAAGGAACGAGAGATAGATAGATAGATAGATAAATAGATAAAAATGTATTGAAGGAAAATATTGCGTAATTAAGTATCATTAGGAAAGCTCGTCTCAAAGAGGAAGTAAATATCTTTTTAAATGTGTATTGGTACGAGAAAGTTTTGGAAACGAAAGAGTCGTAGTTTTTTCCTTTTTGTTTTAGTAGGTTGATTTATGTGGCAAGTTTTCAAACGTTGAGAGAGAGAGAAAGAGAGAGAAAAATTAGACGAAATTGCGACAACTAAAAAGTCGGTCGTCCCATTCGTGGGGGGTGGGGGTGAGGGAGAGGGGGATGGATCATTGTAGAAAACTTTAAAGTTGCGATATAAAGCTTGGCTTGTGACCTCTGACTATTAATTCTAACTTCCTTCTTGTATTATGTCTATCTCTCTACTACCTTTCCCCTTTCGTTCTGCTTTTCTTGTGTTTTCTTTTTTTTATTTCCCTTCTTTTTCCTTTCAATTCTTTTTTCATTTTTTTTTTCTTATTTCTTTTTGTAAAGTAAATTATTAGCAACCACATGCCGAAGATACATTTTAATTATGATATATTATACATTATTTTTTTTTTGAAGATTTATATAATCAATTAAAATTGATATAATTTGTTTCATAAAATGTAATATTTATATATAATTTTTATTTAATAGATAATTAATCATTTTTTAAGATTTTGTTCGCAATATATTATATATATATAATATTTTTAACGAAATATGTATTTTATTATATAGAATATATCATATTATATATATATACATGTATGTAACTTTATTCTGAATATTAGGATATGTAAGTTAAAAGTTCATAAAGTAATTTGAAAAATCGATTATTCTTTTTCGAGACATTTTCCAAGCTAATTACTTTGGTTTTACAGATGATATTAATACTACTATCAAACTCGAATCTTACAAATGTAATTTATTCCTTTACGAAAGTTTTTATTTTTAAACTAACATTTCAACTTTTGATTGGAGAACTAAAAGAGAACTGAGATTTAAATGTTTTAAATATAATTTTTCTTCATATTTTCTGGCTCAATGTTTTTATTTGTTTTTATATCGTAAAATTACAAACTTGCAATTGGTATGTTCTTCAAGATAAAAATTACTTTTCATCGAAATATTTGTAATATAAGTTCTAGTTTTTTGTTTTTTTTTTTTCTAGATCGTTTAATTGCAAACTTATATCGAAATGAAAACAATGCAAATGACTATCAGTCGACATTTTTAAATATAATTCTTGTATTTCATATCAAATTTGCAAAACTACAACGTGGTACAAAAATCGGACTAATACTTTGAACTTTCAGTCACGTTGTTGTTTTTTCTTTTTTTTTTTCTAGATCATAAAACTAAAAATTTGTAGTAACTTTTGGCTGGAGCAGTACATATATATGCATCATATATTCTTTGTCATACTTTTTTTTTGTTTTTCTTTTTTTTTTTTTATTTTCACGCTGTGAAAGTCCTCAGGCTTTCTCTCGTCTACATATTAAAACATGCATCGTTTCGATTCACGAATTTTGCATCCAACGCTTGTAGTACGTAACCGAGCTCTCTTTTTTGTGCAACGATATGCGTAGTCTCCTCCTTTTTTTTTTCTTTCTTTCTTTCTTTCTCTTTATTTTTTATTTTTTGAAATTTACAATCTCCATATTCAAGATTGTTGTATTCGCGTTTTCATAAATACAACACACATTTGCACGCTTTTGATAGTGAAATAATACTCTCACGAGACTAGCGATACTCGTCTTCTTTGTATTCGCGGTGAAACGTTTTAACGAACTTACTATTATAATGGAAGAACTGCATTAAATTTCTATCCCATTTCAGTGAATTGTTAAATACTTAAAAAAAAAAATATATATATATATATAAGAATACAGAAAAAAAATTATAATCACTATCTTAGAAATAATTTCTTGTAATAATTCCTTTAATAAAAAAATAATACAGAAAAATGATTAGAATAATTTAAAAATGATATATTACATATATTGTAGTTTGTATTAATAATACAATGAAAAATAAAAAATAAAAATGTTATGAATCTCCAAGAATCTTTATAAAAAAAAACACACTTGATAATATACTTAATCATCCAATAATATTATTAAACATTTGAAAATGAACAACATGCTAAAGATAAACAATTAACCGTGTGGAAGTTTTTAGTATTATCGAACACGTATCGTTCACAGTTCTGACGTCTTTCATTGTGTTACTCGTTCGTTATCGAGCAGGTGCGATATTATGTCAACGAATTATAGTCATCATTGTCGTAGCAACAAAACGAGAACGGCTGCAAGGAAAATGCAGCGAATTAATAACGAGAGAGAAGTACATATTGGTCGACAATCGAGTCATCAACGAAGAACGTTTTCCGAGCACGTGTATATAAGTAAGTGTGTGTATGTATATATAAGTACTTCATTATTTCATGTATTCTTTTCTTTTTTTATTTACCCTTCAAACGTCCGTTTCTTTATCGAGCACAGATGACGTCGTGGTTCGTTTTAATAACAGTTGATACTAAACATGTGTAATTAATAATAAAATAAATAATGTATGTGTTTTATGTATCTAATAATTGTGAATAATATTTTTAATCATTTATAATGTCGTATACAAAAAAGTTTAACTCAATTGCACCAGGAATTGCATCGAACTTTTAAATTTGTTCAATGAAATGAAAATGAAAGTAACTTTGTTATTTTTAATTTTGTTTTTTCCTTTTCTCTTTGCTTTTGAATTTTTGAATAATAACTGTTAGTAATATAAATGAGTAACAAGAGAGTGGTTGAAAATAATTTTGTTAGAAAATTGTAATATTAATTATTTTCAAAATATCTATAAAATGTATGTGACTTAATATATGAAAAATATAAAAATTAATAACATAATTGGAATTCTTCAAAAATTTCAATAGAAACAAACTAATTCTAACGATTTAAGATAAGAGACCTAATATTTGACTAAATATAATAATAATAAGGATAAATAATTTTCGAAATATTGCTCGATAATTGAGAAAATATATTAAAAATTGGAACTAGAAATAATAAAGAAAAAAAAAAAAAAAAGAAAAAGAATCAAGAACATTACGTAATTAAATTTTCCCTAAAAAAAAGTTTTACGTGAAATGAAAATAATACAAAACGATTTAAGATACGAGGATAATGTATTTCATAATCTCTATAAATTAAATTTATTATCTCTATTTATTTATTAAATTAAAAAAATTATCTCTAGAAATTAAATTTATTATATTTTTGTTTTTTAATAGAAAGATAAATAATTTTTTGGAAATATTAGTTACTCACTCTCCAACTCGTTCACCGTTCCAGCAACCTTTATCAGGATGATCCTCGCAAATAGTATCAGCAAGGGTGCCATAGAAGGTACGAGAGCTTGCTACACTGGCCAAGAAATTTCCCAGTTGTGTGTGCAACTTGTTAGGTAGTGTTCTGTGCGTTGTTGATGAGGACGATGATGGTGGCGGTACAGCTGCGTGCATCTCTAGACTGGCTTCGGATGACCTCTCAACTGCATCTGGTGCTATTCCACTGGTTTCGGATGGTGTTTCAACATCCGAACGACCGCACACTTTTCGCACCTGTAAACCAACGTTTCTTATCCGTTAAATTTAATCTCCAAATTATTCAATCAATTTATAATATATTCGTTTATAATAATAATAATCATTTGCAAAAAGTTAACTAATGAATGTAAAAAATATTCATTATTGATTTGGTTATGTGTTACAATTCACGAATTTCTAAATTTCTTTTTTCTAATAACTTTGTTTAATATTATCAGCTTTAAATAAACTTTTAATATTAGCGATATGAAATATGATTAAATATAATCAAATAATTATACTAATATATTATTTCATATAAATATTATATTAATATATATCTATTGTGTGAATTAATTATCGTGCGTTTAAAGTTACTTGCAGTTAACCCTTTGCTCTTCTATCCACGCATTCATGTCTCCTCCGATCAATACCGAATCATTCAATTAACATAATAATATATATATNTCAGTGAGTCGTGATCAATATTAGGAACTTAATCATTCTTCTCTAATTCAATCACTACGTGATTATTAAAGTTTATTATGTTTAAAAAATAATACGATCTACGTTTAATTTCAACTAAACGTGTGTTATCCTTCTTTATTAATAAATAAATAATATTTAAAACGTCCATATTATCATAAATTGAATAAACATAAAATAGCGGTTACAAAGAAAGTATAAATATAAAACCAAAAAAAAAAAGAAAAAAATAATAAAAACCCAAAGAAATAAAATTCCTCGGTATATCCCATATATATATATTTATATGATTTAAAAATACTACACTGATGTGACCGGTGCTAATCAAATACGAACATTCGAGATGAAGATTCGAGAAGAGTTTTAAATAAGAAAAGTTGATCGTAAAACCGTGCTTGATGGGTTAGAGGGAGGAGGAGGAGGAGGAGGAGGAGGAGGAGGAGGAGGAGGAGGAGGAGGCATATAAAGTAATTAAGATGGAACTTGTGGGCGTGTAAATGTTGTTCCTTGTCTTCGTTTATTTCTTTCCCTTCCTCTCCCTCACCCTCTCTCTTTCTCTCTCTCTCACTCTTTATCTGTCTATACATCTATACTGTTCTCTCATAGTACATGCTTTTCGTTTAACCTTCGGCTCTCAAGGGAGGACGAATAAGGAGGAGACGGATTATACCCTTGACCCGTTCCTCCTCTATGAATAAACGGATGACTACTACGACAACGACGAGGATAATATAAGCTTGGTTCCGCCTCCGTGTCTCTCGAACGAGCAGGATTAGAAGATTATCTTTTAATTGGTGGAACGTATGATGATACCACCACCATAACACACATTCGCACTAATAATAATAATAATACCCACGTACAACGTGTACGGAGACGTATTATGATAATGGACGTAATACAAAAGTTTCTCTACAAAAGTTTAATTTTTATAATATTCTTGCATGACGTTGTGTTCTTTTTATCTTTTTTTTCTTTTTGTTTTATTTTTTTTTTTTAATTTTGTTAGGGTGAACCAAATGTTCGTGTGCGTTTATTCTGTCGTTTAAGAATAGTTCAATTTTTTCAAGTCAATAAAATTACTTTATAATATTATAAATTAAAAAATTTCATTAATAAATCGATTTTATTTTTTATCGGTTTGTCTTTTATTACGACGATATTTAGGCGTATATTATATATTATTCGTGTACTGTTAATTTCTTTTCTTTTTTTTTTGTCATAATAATTATGCGCGTAAACAACATTCATACGCTCTTATACGTAAATACTTTTACAAATCTGTTATTTAAATCAATTATTATTTTTTTCTTTTATATCGTTTTTGAATAATAATTATACGAATAAAAACGTTTACACGGATGTAACAAAAATTACAAGATAATCATTAAAAATCAATTACGTATTTCTTTTTTTACAATTTTTCCTAACAATATAAAATAATAATTATAAGAAAATTTTGTCTTACAAATATACATATATATGTAAATGCAAGGTAAAATAGAAATTTTCTATATAAATCAAAAATGTGTTTTTTTGATTTCTTCCAAAATTTGTCATAAACTAATAGTATAATTCCTTGAAAATAAATTGTTGTATATAATTTGTATAATTAGTTAAACAAATGTTTCGACCCAGTTAGAAACTTTTATAATAACTATTTATACATATACATATACATATGTACGTTATACTTGAATACACACATAATCATGCCGATTTCAAGTCTCGTTTGCATCTTCACATCGCTAATAACGAATATTCTCTCTTTCAACGTTTGCATACGCCTAGTGAGATTTCCGTTATCAATTTCGCAGCCTTAGCATCCGTTTACGAGCGGTTAAACTTGCTTCGGTCAAAAGCGATTAGGAAGCTGAAACTCCAATTACGTTTAACAAGCTTGTATCTCTGTCTATCTTCTCTAACCATTTTCGATCTTTCTCTCTTTCTCGTACACACACACATATATATATATATATACATACACACGCACTCACTTAAATACGTATAGAGGGGCATATATATGCACACACGCTTAGCGAAGGAAAATGAACGATGATGATTTTCTTGTTATGAGAGAGAGAAAGAGAATAAAACAGAAAAAGGAATAAAAAAAAATTAAATAAAAAACAAGACGAATGAGAAATAAACAGTTAAATGAGTTTATAACTAGTTAACTAATTACTTTTCTTCGTTTATGAGAGGGAGATTAAAAAAAAAAAAAAAAAGACAACAAAACGTTCAATCGGAAAATTGTTTCCTCCCCCTTTTGTGTTTGACTTTTTTTTTCTTCTTTTATTTTGCGTTCATTATTTGTAACAACGAAACGGGATGGTTGTTTTTTGGTTTTAATTATAATTGGAACATTTTCCTTTTTCCTTTTTGTTTTTTCTTTTTTTTTATATTTTTTCTTTTTTAAATTAAACGTGTTTGTTTTTTACCCATTACGCGAAATATTCATTCGGTTAGGAAACGTCACAATTTGTACTTCAATTAATACGTTTTATAAAGCTGTTATGCGACATTGTTGGCAAATGACGTGTTCCTTCATTTTTATTATCTCTCTCACTCTCTCTCTCTCTCTCTCTCTCTTTTTTTTCCCCCTTCAATTCTACCAATTTGGCGGGTAAAATTATTTTTTTTGAATGTAAACTAATGGACAGTAAACTTAATGTGTGTGTGTGTGTTCAAAGAGAAAAATAATATTTCTCTTTATTATTATGACTACGAGACCACCGTTCTCATCGTTGTAACATCAAAATTATGTTTTAACCCTTTATGACCCAAGCAAAAGAAAAATATATCTAACGTGAAATTTATCTGATTGTAAACACACATTATACCGTAGGAATACGCGAAGCAACAATTAATCGTTATCGTTGAATCAATGATAATAAATATTCAACAAATTAAACTTATTTGTAATAAAGTTATTTGCATATACAGTTTGTCTATTAATATATCGTTGGATCGTGAAATTTATGCAGAAACCAAATTTCGAATTCGACTATTTTGAATGCAAATCAATACTGAAACATTCGCGATGCTAACATTAGAATGGGTTTAATAAACAATTTGATTTTAAATCGATTGTTGTTTATTATTCAACTTTTTTTTTCTCCCAAGTTGAGATATATATATTATTTAAATTATAAAACTACAAGAGCCTAATTTCAAACGTTTAAAGTTTGTCACGAAAAGAATAATTGACGTTTTAAAATCATTTAGAAACTTTTGGCATATGTCGTCGTATATGAAAAATTTTTTTTTGGCACCTAACGTTATTTACTTGAAGATTCATATAAATACGTCTTAGTAAATTATTATAATGTTTTATTGGGACTATTAAAGTGTCATCTCTTTTCAACAATATGTTTATCTTATTAAATATTACTAATAAATTTTATTACATATGTATATAAAATAAATATTGAAATATAAGATAATGATAGATAAAATTTACTCGTTTTTCGTTTTTGATTGATTAAAAAGAACATGTAATTTATATATACATATATATATATATATATATA